CACTATCTCTACAGTAGCTGGGAGGGAAGGGAAACACAACAAGCATGGTCAAAACAAGAAATTCCTTAAATGTCGTCAACTAAGGTTAGGAAAGGCACTACTTTCCACCATGCTTAACTACACTATGCTACGTGTACATCTCATCCAATAGCAATGGTTTAAAGTATTTAAGTGATTGAAGGTCAGGGTCAATGATTGATGGGCAGGGTCAATGATGAACAGTGTACTTACTTTCCCACTCCATCCGGATGTCCACATCCCAGAAGTAGTGACAGATCTCATGTGCTGTCACGCCCTTCACCACGTTCTGCGCCTTCAGGGGATCCACAACAATCCCATCCTCCTCCACCTCTCTCCTGTACACCTGGACATCAGGGAACAAGGTAGTGTGGCACATGATGCAGTGGCATTTTCCAGTACTCAGTAACTGGTTAAACTTTCTTTTATTTCCTCATGTCATACAGTTACAAACTTCACCAATAAATGGTTTTAATTAAACTAGTAGAGCCTCTTTCATCCAATCACTGTAACAGTTGGTCCCGCTTGCCTGAAATCCTTGTCCTCAATTAGCAACTGACAATTAATATTGTGAGTATCTTGTAGATCCTGCACACATGGCAGGAGACATACTGTGGTTTTCCTTCACCATGAAATTGACTGCCTCCTACCTTCATCTCTCCTTCCTCCAGCAGCAGCTGCCAGTCACTCTCCCCGTCTTTACTCTGGAAGGCCAGTCTGTGGTGCTCACTCACTTTCCTCTCAAGCTGGACAGAGCAGGACAATTCACAAGTCATACACATGATGCATGAAACAACATCCTCTATACAACATTTTTTTTTTTTTCAACCTTTATTTAACCTTGAAATGTACAGTACATGTGTGTATCAGTACAACTCTTCAGCCTAAGCCATTTTTCAAGAGGTCAAGGGGAGGTAGGTCAGGGGTCTTTGCAAATTCTTCGGTTCAGTTACAATCAATACAATCAATAGAATCAATTACAATATAAATATATACAAAGTGTACAAAATTCAAACACTCTCTCGGTATCTCAGTATCAAACATCCAAGTTCACATATTTAGTCGTTCTAAGTTGCTTGACGCAGCCGGTTTTTAAAAGCTGCAACTGACGAAGCCGTTCTTAACTCAGTTGATAAGTTATTCCACAGTACTGATCCTGAGTAGGAAATCGATCTTCTGTATACTTCCCGACGAACATGTTGTACGTGATGAAACAACTATTTCTCATCCTGCATTTCCTACCCAGAATCAGACCCAGAATCTGTTATCATCAGATTCTTGACACCCTCTTTCAACTGAGCGGCTCAACAAATTTCATAGATAAAGAATAAATCTTTTTACATCTTGAATGTCTTCTTGTCTTTCAAGTTTCAAATCATACTTTAATATCCACCATCATATATAATCATTCACGAAACCAAGGATTTCTGACTTACCTCAGCCAGATATGGAGCCAGACCCCCAGCGTCTGTCATGGCTGAAACACTGTCTGTGATCTGGTTGGACTAAACAAAAACAAAAATCTCTTGAATAGTGTTCTCGTATCATAATAGGTGAAGTAAAAAGTGAAATCTGATAATAGTCTTCTATACTGTTGTATGCAAAATGCGTATCAACTGAACATTAAACAAGTGGTAATAATGGCACATGTAACAGTTGAACAAATCTGCTGTCTAAAAGACTAGTAAAGTGAATACAGAAGACACGACAACACCATTATGAGGTACTTAGGAGGTGCCGTACGTGAACAGTACCCAGCTTTCCAACACATCCATACGGCACAACATTGTCACACTATGACTCCCTGAAGGGGGCTATGTAATTGGGTAGGGTTGATTCGACTTACTTTGTGATGAAATGGCCAGAAATTAGACTTTTTGGATCGTCCTGATGTCACATAATGGCCCTTTAAGTTAAAGGCCAATGAAATCAGGATTAAACAAGGTTTGGCACATATAATCAAACTAGGAATAGAGAAAGGGAAAACAAATGAAGAAAAAAGTAAAAAAAGTGCTTACAAGTACCATTTCCTCCAGTTTGTCATTTCTGTCGAGGGCAGACTCGACAGCGTCGTAGAACTCTTCCTCGTTTATGGCACTGTGGGGCCCTTCCTACAAGCACAAGGGAACATCACAACAACAGTTACAACCACGTGATAATGTGGGGCCCTTCCTAAGAGCACAAAGGAACATCACAACAACAGTTACAACCACATGGCACTGTGGGGCCTTCTTACAAGGATAAGGCAACATCACAACGGCTACAACCAATACTACCTTCAAGTACATGTACATATGGAAGATATAAAACGATGAAGTGCACTCTTAAATGGCCATCAAAGCAGCTGTAAATCTCTGATTGTCAGGATCTACTGACCTGATAGTCAGGCCCTCCGATAGCTGCTTTCTTCTTGAGTTCCTCCATACACCTCTTATAGGCATCCTCGGCTCGTCTTCTCCGCTCTTGTTCCTGAAAGGGAAACAGAGCACCTAACTTCATATACAGTCTGGATAGAAGTTTAGACACCAATTCTATCATCAATGTAACATTTCCACAGTCACTTGCACAATAGAAAAAAGATGTCCACTGGAGGAAGATATGTAAGAACATATGTAAGAACATACATTATGCCAATAATACTTGACTAAGACTTTCCCAACGAACTACGACCAATTAATTTTGACTTTATATATCCAAACATACATGTAGATAAGCATCAAAGACTACTATCGTAATCTACAAAACTATGACTATAAATCCCACTTACACTTACAATGTCTTCCTCAAAGAATGTAGAATTGTTAGGACAGTGGAACATCTGTGCTTGAATCCCGGAGAATCAATGTAATCAAATCTACCATCGTTCTGAGAATCAACAGTAAATGCTTTATAATGAAGGTTGAAAATCTAATCTAGCGTCTGGGATTTGCCTATGTGCAGCATCAGCTGCCGTGGATAACAAGACTGGGCTGACTCCATGTACAGCTGTGCCATGAATGTTTTATTGAGAAAGCAATCAAGCGCCCTTCAAACCTCAACTGACATGCGTGCCCTGGGAGGGGGAAGGAAACAAATCTTCTAAATGTCAGGAGTGCCAGAACTACTGTACCTAGGAGATAAAGCTGGAGGCAAACAGCATCTGTCAAGTAATGCTGATATAAATTATTCAGGTGCATAGCTCATGACGTTGTCTTTTTTTTAAAACAATCTGGGACCCGGAGATAGCATCTTATCAACTAATGAGTACAGGGCTTTGTTTTGCAATTGTCCAAACCTTTGCTACTTCTCACCAATAGCTTGAGATAGTATCATTTTTGTTTGATTTGCCATGACATTGCCACAGTTGATGTGAAACCAGATCATAACAACTACACAAAAATAATTGCTTATCTGTCCCTGGAGCATCATTTGCCGCCCTGCTCACTGAGCTGTACAGAGGCACATTAACCTCACAGCCATGGTAAGCACATTAGGAATCTTCTTATGAATACAAGTCATGTCTGAATGTAGAACTTTCTCATACATAGAGAAAATGACTGGGAGCAAAATGTCATCCTGATTTTTTTCTGGTTGGGGAGGTTTTTGATATGACCCAGTACAAAGAGCAAATACATAAAGGCATGTAACATCTAAAGAGCTGCAGACATACCAACATGTACACTGTTACGGGGTCTACGCACAAAGAACAACCATACATACAACCTTTTCCCTCTGTGAGAAATACATAGTACATGTATTTTCAAACTGACTGAAACCGTCCATAAATTTAGGCAGGTATGTAAAAACAACAATTTGTTTCTTTGTACATGCATTTCCTAGAAATAGCCTCCCTCCCAGGACATAAATACCTCCAGTGAGATTACGTACTTGTGTTGGAGGATTTGAGCCGAGTGATTGCTGAGAGCACCCACCTTCTCCAGTCTCCTGTGCCATGTGTCTTCCCGCTGCCTCATCAGGTCGATGCAGTAAGACAGTGTGGCAATTATCCCGGCGGTGGTTGCCTTAAACGTAATGGCTCCCCCTTGAAGTCCAGTCCGTTCATCCCGGCGGCAGCCTGATGTGGGGAGCTGGAGGGAGAGGAGAGGAGAGAGGTTCCACCAGATTATCTCGGCTCACTCCAGCTCCAGCTGGCTCGTGTGCGCG